ATAATCAAAACAGGAGCAGACTTGGGGAAGTCCAGTTTGTCACTCACTTTTGAGGTTTTCCAAAGAAATCCCAGGCCTGGTTTAAGTTCATGCTGGCCCCTTCAAATACCTTTGACTTTTTTGGGGGGTCGGGGGGGAGGGTTACACCCGGCATTGCACAGAGGTTACTCCTGGATCATGCACTCAGGAATTACTCCTGGCCATGTTCAGGGTACCATATGGGATGCTGGGAATCGAAACCCGAGTTAGCTGCGTGCAAGGCAACCGCCCTTCCCGCTGTGCTATTGCTCAAATACCTTTTAGAGTTCAGTAAACCTTTCCCATCTCCGGTCATATCAACAGGGCACCACTAGGGGTCTCTCTCGAGCATTGAACCAGAAATTTGGCTGCTAAGCACCTGAGAATCCCTCCATGTGGCCCGAATCTCTCCCTCCCATCCCCCACCCCCCCACCCCGGCCAAAGACAAAATGATAGACTCAGAGACACAATGCTAAAATATTAGGGTGTAGATTCAGACTCTAATTGTGTACTGCAAGGCAGGCCAAATTGCCAAGTTATAATAGTCTGACAAGCTGATCGTCTAGTAGGTATGTGTTGGAGGGAGTTGAAAGCTATGGGTCTATGACTAAGTTTTCTGATTCACATTAACACAGAGTGGCCAAGAACCACAAGTCAGTGAGGTCATCCAAAGAAAGGGCAGACATATCACTCCCTCTTTGCTCCAATCCCACCAACTGTGGGTTCATGGGGGATCTCCATGCAACTTTTTCCATCCTAGACATGTTTCATCCTAGACATGTTTTTTTAGTTTATTATTTACTTCCATTTTTTTATTTTTATTAAGATAGTGTTTATAGAGTTGTTCATAATAAAGTTGTTTCAGGCATACAATATTCCAACACCATTTCTTCATCTTTTGGAAGAAATACAGAACAAACTAGCCTCTAAGATCTCTAAGAGCACTGGATCCAGTTCTGTGTTTTTTCAACTATGTCATGTATGCTGATTTAAGACAACATATGAGGGTGCTGAAGTGGGCAGGGTGCTTGCTTTGCCACTTGCCTGACCTGGGTTGGAGCCCCAGCACCCCACGTGGCCCCTGAGACCTGCTATGAGTGATCCTGAATTCAGAGCCAGGGGTAAGATCTGAGCACAGCTGGGTGTGATCCAAAAAAAAAAAAAACCAAAAAGAAAAAAAAAGACAAAATGAATAAAATGATGCATCTTTTGACAGAATCTTAAATTCATCACTAAATAACAAATAAAATAACACCACTCCTACTTGTTTTTTCTAACCCTTGCAAAGTGCTTTGCATTTTAGTGATCTTCTTTCTTAGATGTATCATGTAGAGTATCAAATAATAGCTGTGCCAAAGACTGTCCGGATTAAAGGGTGTGAGCACTGTCCTAATATTCTGGAGAGGAAAAGAAAAACTTTTTTGGTTGCCTTTTAGTTCCTTTCACCAAATGAGAGCCTAAAGTCCCCCAGAGTAGCAGTTAAAGGTCACATATTTCCCATGCCCCCAGGCAGAGACAGGGAGGGAGGATAGAAACAGAAGGAAAGACCCCGAGCCTGGCCTACCTAGAGATCAGTGGGATGGTACTTTAGTGGTAACACCTTGGAATCTTGATGAAAGGAGTTATCTGTAAATATCTGGGAGTAGGGGGTAGGGAGGCGGTGTTTAGGGGGCTGGGGAATCTTCTAGTCTCACAATTGGCAGAAGAGATTAAAACTCCTGCAAAAGAAAAAGTCAGGACCACTGACAATTGGAAATATTGGCATGGGGCACAGAGGTCTCTTGGCTGGATTAGGACCAGATGGGTAATAGGCTGACCCTCTCAGCTGTTCATCTTGATAATTAAAATAAATCTTGCACCTGTGATACAAAATTAGCTCAGAAACCCAAGCCAGCCACGGGTAAAGTACATTTGTTGCTCTGAACACAAAGGCTTACTATCAAGAGGCATCTAGTTTAAGAAGCATTTAGTGTGGAGAAAGAGCCAAAGAATCATTTCTAGCTATTAACTCCTTGTCACCTGGGCTGATTTAAAAACAATTTAAAGACATGCTAAATTGGGGGCTGGAGCAATAGTACAGCGGGTCAGGCACCTGCCTTACACACATCCAACCTGGGTTCTATCCCCAGCAACCCCCGTAAGTCCCTGGAGCACCACCTGGGGTCATCCCTAGCACAGACCCCGGAATATGCCCTAAGCACAGGTAGGTGGCAAAAACACAAAACCAAGAAAATCTTATGCTGTTTTTCCCCCAAGAAAATACTGGTGCCAGAGGATGACTCGGTGGCAACAGTGTCTCCCTGGCAACGGTGAGGCCCCGAGTTTGATCCCTGTGCCAACTATCCTAAGCAAGGCTCCTGCATCACACAGGGAGTGTGCAATGTATGGTATAGACAGCTGTACAAACAGTAGAACCAAAAGTATGTGACTCTGCTAGCACTGCAATTAAAATGAGCAATGTTGCCAGGTGTGCAAACCCTGGGAAGTGTGCAAGCACCATAACTGAATTGTGCAGCGCCCTGTGAGCACAACCAAGACGTGTAAGCACTAAAGCAGATTGTATGACCCCCCTACTCCCCTGGTCATCACAACAAAAATAAGGGGAATTAAGTTTGGTTTTTTTTTGCGTCACACCCTGCAATGCACAGGGGTTACTCCTGGTTTTGCACTCAGGAATTACTCCTGGCGGTGCTCAGGGGACCGTATGAGATGCCAGGAATCGAACCCGGGTAGGCCACATGCAAGGCAAACGCTCTACCCGCTGTACTATTGCTCCAGTCCTTAAGTTTTCTTAAAAGAAGTCACATACCTAAATATTGTTGCACTGTATTGCACAATTCAGTTAATTTGCTACAATTCTATTTAAATACAACTGATGTTAGTCCTGAGGCAATCATCTATGAAATAAACCTCAATATAATGGTTTAATAGAAAATAATTACACTGAGCTTAATGACTAAGAGACCTGAATTAGTCCCATCTCTACTAAAAGACTTGGGTAAATCTTTGCCTATGTTCTCTGATCAACAAAATGGGGAAGAGTAGGCCAGAAAATTAAAATTCAAATTCCATGAGAAACTAAAAGATATAATCCTGAACTCAAATCCTCGACTCTAAATAGCTGAAATTACCAATGAAGTGTTTTGCAGTAAGTTTTTGTCTTACCATACCTGGACAGAAGGGGTCATGCTGCTGAAGATTTTTAGTTTCAGGATGTTAGCATGCACCAAATAAATCCTTTTCACAGCATGCTTTATATGACTCACTGGTGATTTTAACTTGCTGGAATGCAGACTACATTTGCATCTCTCAAACAGATGGATGCCCATTCTTTTGGTTTTTGTTTTGCTTTTGGGTCACACCTGTGCTCAGGGCTTACTCCTGGCTGGTTCTTCGCTGCAGGATCACCTCTTGCAGGCTGAGGGGACCAAAAGAGGGCCAGGGATTGAATCCCGGTCAGAAACATGCAAGGACAAAAAAAAAAAGGGCGGGAGTGATAGCACAGCGGGTACGGTGTTTGCCTTGCACGCAGCCAACCTGGGTTCATTTCCCAGCATCCCATATGGTCCCCAGAATACCGCCAGGAGTAATTCCTGAGTGCAGAGCTAGGAGTAACCCCTGAGCATTGCCGGGTGTGACCCAAAATGCAAAAGAAAAACAACAACAACAACAACAACAAAAATATGCAAGGCAAGCAACTTACATGCTGTACTATCTCTCTGGCTCCTGGATGCCCGTACTCTGGGAGTTTTCCATGTTTTGAGTGGCAAGTGACAATCAATCATTGCTTTCCAATATATTGTTTTCAAAGTGTTGATTTCTTTTGCTACTAAGACTTGACCTTGATTTAAAAATTTTCTAGGAATTTGTAATTTTTGTGGTGTCATCATTGCAACTAAACACACCTCAAGCCGCTTTTATAAGACAATTAACCATAGGCCTCCACTTACATAAGAGCTTTACAAAAGGCCCTGTTCAGCTGAGCCTCAAATGTGAAGTTCTGCCAACTCTCCTTTTTTGCTAGGTGAAAGTGTTCCAGCAATCAGAGGAAAGATCTCCTTAGTCTCATTAATATACTTGATTCCAAACACACTTATCAAGAGCACCTGGTGAGGGTAGGCAGGAAAGAGGACTGCTACCACTGTAACCTTCCCTTCCCTTTTTGGGGGAGCTGGGACTGGGTAACACCTCCAGTGCTTAGGGCTTACTCCTGACTTTGCACTCTGGAATCACCAAGCACCCAAGGATCCTAAATGGAGTTGAGGAACCATATAAAGCGCTTCAGATTGAACCTGGGTTGACTGCATGCAAAGCAAGCAGCTTACCAGTTAAGACTCTCCAGCCCTCCTTTCCAATAAACACTCCCCCCTATGTCCCCTTCTCTGTAACAGAATTAAACTGATTAAACCACGTTGAGGGTTTAGAAAATACTAGCATCTCGATTTCAGATCTACTCAGCTGGTAAAAGGACAAATAACAATGTGTTGGTCTTCACTTATACTGTCTTTCAGACAAGTGATCTTGTATCAGCATTCCTCAGTGACAGGCAAAACAATTACTAGATCACAACCACCTGAGGGTGGGGAGGAACTCCTGAACATTCTCAAACCCTGTCAATAACGTTTATCCCATGAACATTCCAGTAAGTACTAAGTAACAAACACAGTGGACACAGGTCTACAAAATGAAACATCAGTGTTTGAAAAGTAAAGCATGTTGATCTTCTATTTACCATCATCTCTGCTCCAAAAGCTGAGGAAAACACTTTCTAATCTTTTTCAGTTGTTCAAGTTCCACAGCTTTATTTTATGCCTTTTTCCCCCTCCCTGCGGGATCAAACACATGCAAGTTCTCTACTCCTGAGCCATCCCTGGCTTCGCTTCTTATATAAACCTGGTATCACACATATAACTGTTTGGGTTATTCAAAGGTTCTAAGACTATTAATGTCTGAAAGAAAATAACAGAAAACAACAAAAAACTTGATTAGCTGCAATAATATGCATTTATTTGTAACTATACATTATAAATTATATAAACCATTAACAAAAATTTTATTTTGTAAATGTTTATTCAAGAATTATGTAATTTCAAATATCTTCCAAAATAGTTTCCTAGGTTGCTACAAAAGAAAGCAAATTCAATTCAATAAGAAATTGAAATCATTAAATACGTTTCACTAGTATATACAGAGTGCCAAGCAATTAATTTCTAGCCCTGGAATGTGTACCATGTATTTTGTTTTTCCTTATTAAAGGCTCAATCCAGCACTGGGTATAGGCTATGTACAACAGACAGAGTTCAGTGTTCGTAAGACTTGACAATAGATTCAATTTATAACTGTGGTAGTTTGTCCACAGGGGTATCAAATTTGAAGTCTGTAGGAAACAGATCTGGAGCTCGAGGATAGATTAGTCTGTAGGACTGTCTGATGGTAACATCTGCAACACCAGCAATATCTCCAATTTCTAAAAGGCAAAAAAATTTATATACAATATTATAAAATGCAAAAGTGAAAAAAAATCAATTCTTAAAAATATATTTAATATTAAAATGTAGACAATAGTTAAATTAGAGTTGTTGTATTAGCATTAAAAGATTAATACATGTAAAACACCCAAACTATGATCAGGGTGGAACAGTATAAGAGATTATTTTTATCTATTTCTTTACATTTACCTACAGTTCATGGATTAAGTCTGTAAGAGGAACATACTTAGCTATAACCATAGGACTACTGCTTATGTTTAGAGCTGCTCCTTTCTCTTCAAAATTATCTTTTTGATAAGAGATGTAATCCATGAATACATTGTTGTAAAGAATTCTACTTGAAATCTGTTTGGAAGTTGCTTTGTAAAATTCTCTTAGCTAAGATTTGTTAAGAGGTTCTTGTTAAAACCCAAATGGAATCATATACTGTTCTACCCTTTTCCCCCCCATTTAATACATTAAAAATCAGATAGCTGCATCTTAACAACATAATAGATTTTTTTCACCATTCCACACATATTTAAGCATATCTATTAAAATCACTGATCATTTCTCAAGTCTATTGTAAAATCCCAGGAGTGACTCCACTTTCACTCTTTTAATTTGACTTCCTTTTAAAGTCAGTAAGTGGGGACCAGAACGATAGAACAGCAGGTAAAAAACTTGTCTTGAATGCGAATAACCTGGGTTCCATCCCTAGCATCCCATATGGTCCCACAAGCACTACCAGGATTAATTTCTGAGTGCAGAGCTAGGAATAATCCCCGAGCACTGCTGAGTCTGACCCAAAAGCCAATAGTCAATTAGCATAAAAAACTGCCACTTGATTAACTATTTGATTATTATAAACACTTAGGTGATTTTTAAAAACATAACCTCTAATACAAACTCATTCTGTCACCTTTTCAATCAGTTCAATCATGAATTTTTTTTTTGGTGGGGGTTGGGAGGAGGTACATCCAGCTGTGCTTGGGACTTACTCTTGGCTGTGCTCAAGGATCACTCTTGGAGTTACTCATGGGACCACATGCAGTGCTTGGGACTGAACTGGAGTTTGTCTTGTGAAAAGCTGTGCCTTTAATTCCTGCACTCTATCTCTAGTCCCATAGGCATGATTAATACCTGATGAAGTGTTCTTCTGATGAGGAATTCCTACCTTTCTGGGTCCTCTTCTCAGCTGATGCCTGTGAGGCCATGTAAATAGCTGCTGCTGCCACAGATATGGGGCTCCTTCCAGGAACCAAGTCCAATTCCACAGCTTTACGGGCTATATGTGTGGCTGCCATCTGCACTTGTTTAGGAAGACAAAGATTGGAACAAAATCTGGACATAAAGTCCCCAGTTGTAATCAAATCCACACTGGTTTCTAGAGCTTTCAAAATAAGTTTAAAACATCGGCCAATTTCCTTCTTAGAAATTCGTGAAACAGCACATATTTCTGAAAGAAAAAAAGTTTATATTAATTACAACCATGCCTTAAAGATTAAATTGTAATCCTCTGAAGTGATACTTCCCACAGAACTAATTAAAAAATTTTCAATTAATTTAAATGCTTATATTTTAGTTTTTAAAAAGTTAAATGTAGATATTAATCTTTCAAAATATTAACTTCTCTAAGTTTCTATTCATAAGTTTTTTCAGCTGATCATTATTTCATACTTATATATTAATTTGTTCAAAGAGTTTACCAAATAAATTAAATACTCAAGCTAAAGAATGTGTGAGGAACACTTTTTCTGTGTCAGGAGGACATTTGGATATTTGTAACATCAGTCACTGGCCTCACAATATAGGCAGATGGACTGTGGGCAGTTGAGAAGTAAACGTCTGTCCCATCAGGTATCAGGCCAGGTAGACCACATACTTCAGTAAAATTTCAACAGCCCACAGATCAGAAGTTCCCACCCTGCGTTAATGTTTCTCAAGCTACATGTCATCGTGGTAGATGCAATCCTTACAAATGTATGTCATAGTCAAATAAAAAAATATTTGATCCTGCTAACTAAAAACCTTAATTAGCCGACTGGAGTGATACTACAGCAGGTAGGAATGTGTCTTGCACATGACTGATGCAGGTTCAATCCCCAACACCAGACAAGGTCCCCTGGGCCCTGACAGGAATGATCCCTGAATACTGCCAGGTATGGCTCAAAAAAAAAAAATTTAATTCATTTATCAAATATGTCTTTTTCCTTTGATTTTTGGCCACACTTAGCTGTGTTCAGAACTTAATCCTGGCTCAGCGCTTCAGCGATCATTCCTGTATATGGGGGACTATATATAGGGTGCTGGGGATTGAACCTGGGTAGGCTGCAAAGCAAAGCAAGCACATCTTACTTGCTGTACTGCTGTATATTATTGCTCTGGCCTAACTATCAAATGATTTCGTAATAAATTTAGCAAAAACCTTAGCTACTTCAGTAATAATATGAGAAAATGATATAAGAAATTGTAAAAATTAAATACTAATTAATGAAAGATAATTTTAAACCAAAATGAACTTTGACGAGTAGGTTAAGAATCACAGCAACACTGTAAACAGATTCTCATGTATTTGTGAAACAAAATTAGAACTTAGATGAAAAATTATGTAATAGTTCTATCAAATGGTCTAACTTCAAGAGAAACTGAAAACCAAGACAAACTCAAGACAAAGCTTCATCAACACTTCTAAGGTTTGATTTCTCTCTTTTGGAGACTTAGGCGAAGAGTAAGACTTGGTTTTGCATCAAGTGTACAGACTTAATTAAAGACTATCTCCGGCATAAGTTGCCAGGTTTCAAAACCCACAAACAGAATCAATCACAAAATTAATCAATCAATCAAGCAAAGAATATGGGTTTATTTACATAAAATATGACTTACACTAAAAAACCACAGTCAATCACAAGATACAACTAGCAAAGAACATGGGCTTATTTACATAAAATATGACTACAGAAAGGTGGTTTTTCAGTGTAGTCATATTTTATGTAAAGGACAGTCAGTAACATCACAGAACAAACTTTTGTGAAAGAACAAAAGTAGGCATCTGAAAATAGGGGAATTATGAACATTAAAACTTCACCATAAAGAATCAAAACTACTACTTTAACTCAACATTACTTTAACTCGGCATGGAAAACAATTTTCTTATCTATGCGACTTAAAACCTACCTTTAAATGTTCTAGGAACCCCTTCTTGTCTACAGGCAATATAGAGACAAGCAGAAGCTATGGCATCATTAGCTCTTCCCTTCAGGCTCTTCTGTTCATATACTTGTTTGAATAAATTATTTGTTCGATCCTTCAAAGCAGAGAAACTTAGTTTAATTGACTCTAGGCCATTTAGTTAGTTGCAGTATCAAATTTTTAATGTGTTCATAAATTATGCTTAGTCAATGCCAGAATAGCTAAAAAGAGACACAAGAACTTACAACTATATTCCGAGGAAGGTTGATTCTGTCTGCCATGGTAGTGATTTCCTTGAATGCATTCATCATTGCCCGATCAGAACTACTCATTGTTCTCCGATTCTGGTACTTAGAATTGCCAAATTCATCAAAACTTGCAGCTCCTGTACCCTATGGAAACAAAAAAATAAAAATAAAAAAAGACCCATAAAAAAACCAAACAAACTAAAAAACCCAACACACGCACACATACACACACACACACACACGCACAAACAATGCACATCATATAGTCTGACCTCTAAGTCTACTTCATGCCTTTATGCGTGATCCATATCCACAACAGAAAAAGTACCAAGTGAAGGGAGTTTTAACTTTTTTTTTTTTTAAGATAGGGGTCACACTTTGGTACAGGAGGAGGAGGGGCAGTGGGAGTGTTAGGGGTGGGGTCGTCTGATTCTTACCCTGGCAGCCTGGGCATGAATGTTTGGTGCTCAGAAGTCAACCACCCTGGCTGTGCTGGAGACTGAATTAAGGATTCTGTGCATGCTAGGTATCTGCTCTACCACTTAAGCCATCTCCCTGGCCCCCTTCAAAAAATACTTTAAACGCAAGAACACTACTGGAAAATCTAATTGACCTAATGTTCAAAAAAGGTGTTCAAAAAAGAAAATAAGCAAAACTTCATACTAGAAAATTACTCTCCTAGGCTCAAAGGAAACCCAATGATTAATGAAAAATCATTAGCAGCATTACCCCTAGTATTTTGTAACACTGTACTAAGTAGTCAATATAATTTAGTTATATAATATAATCATGTAACTTGATTATATTAATCATATTAGTATAATTCTATTAAAATTAAGCAAGAGAAACATTATAAAAATATTTTAGGAAGAGTTAAACTCCCAAACTATCTGGAAATCAACTTAAGAAATATATACTAACTCACAAAGAAAATTTAAAAACAATTTCTAAAACATGACCTAAAGAAATGGAAAGGTAAACTGGGGCTAAGAAAATTTTACATAGAGTAACTCATTTTCCCCAAGTTGATTTGCAAATAAATTTAACAAAACTCAGTGAAAATATAACCAAAAATTTGATTTCCTTTATAATTTAACAGTGATCCTAACCTTGATAAAATTGTCACTGTCCTCCCGCTGTTCATCGATTTTCTCGAGCAGGCCCAGTAACGTCTCCATTATGAGACTTTGTTGTTACTGTGTTTGGCATATCGAATACATCACGGGTAGCTTGCCAGGCTTTGCCATGCGGGCGAGATACTCTCGGTAGCTTGCTGGGCAATCCAAGAGGGGCAGAGGAATCGAACTCGGTCAACCATTTTGGCTACGTGCAAGGCAATTGCCCTACCCACTGTGCTATCACTCCAGCCCTGATCAGACTAGTGAAATGATAAAAAAAAAGAACTCTGAGTCAATACCAGATACTAAAGTGAGACATAGCATTTCACTAACTAGACTTGGAACAGAAATATTCCAAAATGATAAATGTAGAATCTTAGAAATTATTTTTGCCATGAAAGCATGAATAACTTTCAACAGTACAGGAGAGACTGATAATAGTTACTTTAACAGTTACCTTAACATGACAGAGAAAGGGTGGGCTGCAGTGGGAACTGAGGGATCAAGTGTGGAGGAATAAGACCATTTTTATGTTTTTGAGTCAAGTGTTTCCTAATTTTTAAAAAAGTTCAATTAGTTGGAATCTTCAGTTTTAAAAGTTCGTAGTTTACTTGCTTTCTCCACAAAGAAAGGCAAATGCAAACGTCATCTACTTAAAAGTATATCTGACTATAATAAACTCCATCCACTCCCTTCCCCCTACCCTTCCCTTCCTGTCAATGTCATGATCAGTGGTTGTGTATACACTTGGATGTAGTCCTGTGATTCTCACAGGTATTTTCAGCTGTGCTTGTTGAGGTCACACTCATTTAGTTGTGGTGCTTGCACACATTCTGGTTGCACTGCTTGCCAGAGGGGAGGGATTTTGTGTCACAATCCATACATAATGCCTGCACACCCTTTTCATAAAAATTGTGGTGCTCAAACACTACCCAGAGTGGCTGAAAATCGTCTGTGGTGCCAGGGATCATAAACAGAATTGCCAGCCTCAAACTGCAGAGCTGACAGGATCCCACTAAGCACGTAGCACTGGGAAATAAATTTACAAGACATCACACTTGCAAACTCATTTCCTGGCACCCTAGTAAACTTTTATTTATTTAGGTTTTTGGGCTACACATAAGCTGTGCTCAGGAATTACTCATGGCAGTGCTTAAAGACCATATACGGTACTGGGGATTAAACCTGGGTCAGCTGCATTCGAGGCAATCACTCTGCTTTGCTGTAATATCTCTTCCATCTGCCCTAATAAACTTTTATATGTAGACTATCCTATGTTTTTCCTCTTGCTAAGAAATATACAGAGCACAGAAAAAGAATGATCTGCTTTTTCATTTTACTTTCTAAAAAATCTTCTACAAAGTAGTTCTTAAAACACACATACTTCTTTGATCAGTCCTTTGGGATATTGCTACAACTACTTACAGTGCATGATAAAAGCATAAAATAGAGCCAGCTTGCCAGAAAATCATGCTGCTATCTTACAGAATAGCAGCGAGCATTTAACACACATGCTATGGTGCAGTTTAAAGACATTTCTACACAAACTTTTAAAATCTCTATAAAATACTTTTATTCTTACTTTACAAGTGAGAAATCTAAACTTTAGTTAATACACAAATTCACCACAAGAAATTAAGCTATAGTGTCTCTAATTATCTTGGGTAGTAGCATGGCACATAAGAAGATATTCAAGAAACATGCCACTATGAACTAATGAAAAATCATACTACCTTCAACTTAATTTTTGTGCAAAAACATGAAAACAGGGGCCTACCTACATTCTAATTTTGTCTGGCTGATTTCTTCCCTTTAAGACTGAAGAAATCTATATGGCAATACTCATTCACAATGATATTACTAGTAAGTTATTCATAGGCCAAGATTCCTCATTAGAGTTGTACGAATACTTTCACAAATTTCCCCAACTCCCAAGTTTGGTGGAATCTGTGCTTGAGCTGAAATGATTTATTACCTTCCCAATCATAGTAGACAAATCTCCATCACTCAGAAGAGGGTTTTGAGAATCTCCAACTCTAGATGGATCCTTCGTTGCCTTATCATTGCTGAAAGTTCTCCACTCAGATCCCACATCAATAACCCGGTCACCTATGAATAAAAGCACAAGTGTAAATTAGGTATCTTGATGCCTCACAGGCATTTTATTCCCAGAAAAATCTCAAAATGGGTCATCTAGTCTTCAGCTGAAGTATCATGCAAATATCTGTCCTGAAACTTTCCTTAATTAGGCCAGTCAAATAATGACCCTTTTTTGGTTTGGGGGCTATACCCAAATATGCTTTACCTAAGCTTGTTTCAGTAACTACTTGATTAAGCAGTATTTTTTGCCTAATAATTTATACAGAAATAAAGTTTTTAGTTTGGGGGGGGGGTCACACCTGGCAATGCTTGGGGGTTACTCCTGGCTTTTCACTCAGGAGTCATTCCAAGCAGTGCTCAGGAGCCCATATGAGATGCTGAGTATTAAAACCAGGTTGGCTGCATGCAAGACAAATGCCCAACCCACTGTACTTATTGCTCTGGACCCTAAAGAAATAAACTTCAAGCCTATGATCAATAGGAAGAAACCAGGTAGGTAAATTTTTATTTAGGCAAAAAAGCAGGGGTGCCTTAGTGAGACAGTACAGTAGGTAAGGTGCTGCATGCCTATACACAATTGACCTGTGTTCAAATCCTCAGGTTCCCATACGGCCTTGCAAGCACCACAGGATTAAATCCTGAGTTCAGCATGGCCCAAAACCAAAAATAAAAAAATCCCAAACAGGAATTGGAGAGATAGTATAGTGGGTAGGGCTTTGGCCTTTCATTAAGCTGATCTGAGTTCAATCCCCAGCATCCCATACAGTACTCCGAGCACCACCAGGAGTAAAACGAACACACAAATAAAAAGAAGCAGAGGGTTAGGTGTGTCATGCCAAGAAACCAAACATTAAAAAATAAAAAAAATATATGATTAGTGGCAAATGACTGATATTAGCTCAACTGCTGACAAAAATTAACTCTGAATATTTGTACATGTGAATTACAATGTCCTTTTAAAATGTTCTCATTCGAGGCTGGAGCAATAACACAGCGGTTAGGGCGTTTGCCTTGCACGCGGCCGACCCGGGTTCGATTCCCAGCATCCCATATGGTCCCGAGTAACACCAGGGGTTATTTCTGAGCACAGAGCCTGGAGTAACCCCTGTGCATCGCTGGGTGTGACCCAAAAAGAAAAAAAAAGTTCTCATTCAATCCTCATGGACCTAGAAAATCAGTTACTACTTCTATTGTCCCTTCAGCAATAATCTTAATCTGCCAAAAACAATACAGCTAGAATAAAAACACACACTGGATTAGAAGGTGGTAACTGCATCCATAAAACAAACTTCTCTCTCAAAGTGTAATGAGGCTGAAAGTAGAAAACAGATCCCATTTATCTTTTCCTATATACCATAAGCAGAGAGTCAAAAGAACAGCAGGAAATCTATTACCTTAAGCAATTGAAAGAAGCCATAGTGGGGCGGGGAAGGTAACCGGACAGGGAACAAGTACAGGCTTTGCATAGGAGAGGCCTGGTTTTTATCCCTGGCAGGCTCAAGGTGGGCATCAAATAATAATCGAACAAAATCTGAATCTATCATACTGACAATATAGTAGTTAAGAGTGCTAATTCTACCATTTGCTACTTGTCCTTGGACAAATAATCTCATTTTTATGCCCCTCCACTTCCTCAGCTTTCAGATTTCTCAATAACTTATTTCAAAGACTACAAAGTACAAGAGCAGTGCATAAAGTGCTTAAAATTTAAAATGAGTGCATGATATTAGTCATGAACAACCATTAAAAAAAAAACTACTGTAGCACTGTCCTCCCGTTGTTCATCGATTTGCTTGAGCAGGCACCAGTAACGTCTCACAACAAATTGTGAGACTTGCTTTGCCATGCAGGTGAGATACTCTTGGTAGCTTGCTGGGCTCTCTACTATTAAAAAATAAATAAAATAAATAAAAATTAAAAAATGGGACAAATAAGGGGAGGAACCATTAAAAACCATTAACCCCTATGAGCAACTGGAGGGTATCTGCTGAGTGAGGTGAGTCAGAGGAAAGGGATACCTGGATTCCTACAGAACAATCTTTCTCACATGTGGGACTTAGAGATACCCAATAAGGAAGCAACAAGTGGCCAAAGGCAACAGATCTGGAGAGTTGATCCACAGAAATGAGCTTATAAGGTAAGTAGAGTTAGAGGACAGGGTTTGAACAGGAAGTGCCTTTAGGAAGTGGGAAGTGAGTACTCAGGTGGCAAGTAAAATACTGGAATGCTATATGCATGAAATCATCATCAATAGAATTTTAAATAAAAGCAGTGTTTAGAATGCTCACACTTTTAAATATCTTGAAATCTAAAGTATTAGCTGAGATGCTTTATTTCACTGCTTCCCCCTGGACTCCATAGTAACTTACCATGTCTGTTTTTTACTGTTTGCTTTGCACAGCCTTTGAAAAGGCAATATGGGGCTGAGGAGATAGCTGTGTGTGCAGGAATTCCACATTGCATCCCTGGCATTGTATGATTCCCTGAGCAAAGAGCCGGGTACAGCCCCCAAGCTCCCCATTAAGACAGACTGTAGGGCTGGAGCGATAGCATAATGGGTAGGGTGTTTGCTTTGCACATGGCCGACCCGGTTTCTATTCCCAGCATCCCAGGAGTAATTCCAGGAGTACTGCCAGGAGCACTGCCAGGAGTAATTCCTGAGTGCAGAGTCAGGAGTAACCCCTGAGTATTGCTGGTTGAGACCCAAAAAGCAAAAACAAAACAAAACAAAAGACAGACTGTCGTTGTAGCCCAACAAAAATTAAATGAAAAAACTCTCCAAATAACTCCAATATTATGCTATCATACTATAAACAGAGATAACTCTGACAAGGAAAAGGTCTGATAATTAGCAAACATGCAAACACACACCTTATATATTAAGTGCCTTAACATGCCAACATTATCAGTTCCTTTCTTAACTACACACGTATTTTTGTAAAATTAACACCAGAGTCTATACACAAAAATTTATAAGAGCCAAAATAGTTGTACTAGAATATAATAGCACCAATTCTTTTTTCCTTCATTCATCTACCTCATATTTTAATCATTTCACATCCAAAATAGAAAGCACCTTATTTATATAGTACAAACTACATTTCTCAATCGTGTATTAGTATTGTATTTCAAAGTTTTAACTAAGACAATTTCACCATATTCCAGAGCAAACAAATTATTGCTCTATTTTTCTTTTTAGGGCTTTTGGGCTGTGTTCCTGGCTTACTACTGATGCTAGGCTCAGGGACCATACCTGCTGGGACTGGGGAACCATATGGGGTGAAGGCACTGAAGCCAGGTCCACTGCATGCAAGGCAAGTGCCTTACGCACTGTACTATTGCTGTCCCCAACTTTTCTATTCTTTCAAATTGGGAACTGCCAGAATTAACTGCCAGAATTAACGCCTAACAGTTTAAAAATGGTGCAGCCTTTGCACCTGCCTTTTAACTTGACAATCCAGTTTTTTAAGTACTTACCTATAAAAAATCTTATGGCAATGTTATACATATAAAAGCTGGATACAACCTCAAACATCCATCAACATGAAAATGTTTATAATGGAATAACTCTCAGCAAACTATTCAAGCATGCAAATAGCATAAATAGAATTATAAAACCATTTTTACTTTTAGGCCAACATCCAGCAGCTCCAGGTGGCGGGGGTGTTATTCCTGACTAATGGAAGAGTTGAACGTGTGCTTGTTCCAGACCACACAATGATAGTTGAACATGTGCAATTAGTTCACTGAGCTATCTTTTCAGCCTTAAAAACTACCATTTGGGGACTGGAGGGATAGCACAGCGGGGAGGGTGTTTGTCTTATACATGACCAACTTGGGTTCAATCTCTGGAATCCCAAATGGTCACCCAAGCACCACCAGGAGTGATTCCTGAGCACAGTGCCAGGAGTGACCCCTGAGCATTGCTGGGTGTGGTCCAAAAACGAAAAAAAAAAAAAAGAAAAAGGAGAAAAAAATTACAAAAACAAACAAAACCACAAAAAACCTGCCACTTTGAGCCCCAAAAAGATAAGCATAGGGGCCAGAGCAATAGTGAAGTGAAGAGTGACGAGCCAGGAGTAACACCTGAGCATCGCTGGGTGTGACCCAAAAAGCAAAAAAAAAGTCAAGCATAAAAAAAAATACAATGATTTCAGTTATAAGAAATTTAAAAAGAAAAATAATCTACTAGGACAGAAATCAGTACAGTAATTATTGGTTGTGTGTGAGTACAGAACAGGTGACTGAAAAGAGAAATAAGGAGACTTGTGAAGGAGAAATAGAATCCTAATTAGTGTGTTGATTACATCTATGCAATGTCAAAATTCAAAATGTGCATTTTGATCCGAACGGTTTATTGTATGTAATTATACCTTAATAAATTAAAATGCAAAATTTACCCCCATGGAAACACTGGATTCTGAACTGCTAATTTTTCTGTATCACTGTCCTCCTGTTCACCGATTTGCTCGAACGGGCACCAGTAACGTCTCCATTGTGAGACTTGTTGTTACTGTTTTTGGCATATCTAATACTCTGTGGAGAGTGTGCCAGGCTCCGCTGTGCGGACGGGTACTCTCTCTCTCTCTCTCGGTAGCTTGCAGGGCTCTCTGACAGGAAGAATCAAACCCGGGTCGGCCACATGCAAGGCAAACATCCTACCCGCTGTGTAAACAAAATAATTTTTCTCAGTCTTGGATGAGAAAATACATTCTCATCATCTTTCAGACCAAGTATATGTATGTCACAGTTAACACTAGATTTAACTTTCTTTCCTGTTAAAAACCTCATTTCCTAACTAGTAACTGCTATGGCATTTTACATGCTTATTTCAGTCACATTCAGTACTTTTAATTTTTGATGTGACTATTCTAGATAATCCCATCTAGTGGAATGATGAGATTATGAAAGTTCTAATCAAGAACCTTTCAGGGTTTAACTCCCATTTCTATCTAAGGTACTTGTAGCAAATTCCAACACAATACCTTTAAAACAAATATTTCCTATAC